GAATCATCTGGAAGACCCATAGTCATGGGACAAGAGCCAGCATCCAATTTTGGATTAAGTCAATGGGATGTCAGAAGATAATGACATTGTCAGGAGATAATGACATGTGTCTGCCATTGTGAAAGAGAAAATACATCAGTCCTTGGGATGGAAGGCATTAACAAGGTGCTAATTGTAGGAAGCCAGGAAGGGGTTTTCCCAAAGGAAAATCCAGCATGTGAGTTGAGTCTGGTTACTGGCAGAGGCAGGATACGGAACACATGGGGTGATTTATTCTGGCTTTTGTAAACCTCAGGAGTCTTAGTCACCAAAATATGGGCTCATCCAGCTGTACATCTCCCAGCAAGGCTGTTTTCTTCATGGATGACGAGCTCCATGACCTCTCCAGGCCAGGGACTTATCTTCTTGCACTGTAAGAATATCCCTGACACACTACTGCCCTGTGCCCACTTTCTGAAACAATTCCCAGGCAGTTAGACATGTCCACATCCAGTGGTCTTTTTCAACAAGCAATTTGGCTGCAATGACCATTTCTGGAGACTAGGAGTTTAGCTGTATGGAAATGGCCAAATCATGTTAGCCAGCACCAGAACCATCTTAGTCCTCAAGGATGTCAAGTGAGAAACAGCCTCTTCCAGATTCTGGAGAGGTCAAACATATTCAGCCCTGAAAATGAAAGAGGTTACAAAAGTTGTTAGCATGAATGGGGGCTGTTTGCCCATTTTATAGGATATTGATCACATGTGGCAATGACATCTACTTGTTGGAGAACAGCTCTTTGGAGTTTCTTGCTGGATCCAAAAGGGGACATTCCCATGCTCTGATGGCTTAGACCTGAAGTCTTGAATCACATCATAGAATCACACAATGGTTTGAGTTCAAAGGGACCTTGAGATCATCTAGTTCCAATTCCCCTGCACGGTCAGGGACACCTCCTAGTAGATCAAGTTGCTCAGAGCCTCATCTAACCTGCTCTTGAACACTTCCAGGGATGGGGCTTCCACAGCTTTCCTGAGTAACCTGTGCCAGTGTCTCACCACCCTTACACTAAAAAATTTCTTCCTAATGTCTCACTTAAATCTTCCCTTCTCCCATTTTAATTGATTCCCCATTGTCCTCTCACCACAAGCCCTTGTAAAAAGCCCCTCTCCATCTTTTCTGTAGGCCCTTCAGGTACTGGATGGTCACTATGAGGTCTCTCTGGAGCCTTCTCTTCTCCAGGCTGAACAAGCCCAACTCTCCCAGCCTGCCTTCATAGCAGAGCTTCTCCAGCCCTTGGATCATCTTCGTGGCCTCCTCTGGACTCACTCCAGGAGCTTCAAGTCCTTCTTAGACTGGGGGCTCCAGAATTGGACCCAGTACTCCAGTACCAGGCCCTTACATGCTGAAGGGATGATTCAACCTCCCAGTTTCTAGGAGTCCACAATCTACCACTGAGTGATTTCCCTCTGGATCTATCTGGAGATACATCCTTTAATTGCACACATCTGGAGTCTTTGCATGCAGTGCTGGAGATGGGAGGGATTAGATAGTTTAGGAAAGGGGAAACTGTGAGACTCCATGACTGGGATAAACATAGTAAAGAGCAGGGTAGGAAGCCCCTGCAGCCCCAGTGTGGTGCTCACCACTGGAACTCTGTGCCCTGTGATGGGTGCCTGGCACAGCACTTGCAATAGCAAGACTCTGCACTCCCTGTTCAGGTCAGCAAGAGACAGCCCCAGGAACAGCCCTCTACATTCTGGGAAGGCTTAGGAGGTGACAAACTGCATCAGTGACTCAGTGGTGGGTCAGAACCTGGGCTTGGCCAGGGCAGGACCATGAAGAAGACAGATTTCCCAGGTTTTGTGACTGCACATTGACAGAAAGGCTGGTCATCCCTCCTGCCTTGTAAGCACCTAGAAACATAGACAGGACTCAGATCCTCCTGCTCTGTTCTTCACTCTTCATCAGCAGCATGTTCTTTTGATTCAGTTGTTCTGGCATCACTCAGCCATGAGAGACCTGGCTGGAGGTCTGTTTATCCTCTGGGTCTTAAGAAAAAGGGCTGAGAGCTCTTTTTCTGGGTGAGGCACAAGCACAATATTTGTTTAAGAAACAAGGTGGTTTGTTGTTCGTTTTGTTTTGTTTTGCCTAAGCAAGTTGCTTCTTGCCATTGCTGACTGAATGTTTTATCAGTTCTTCTCTTTTCCACAGTTATCAAGAGGCCTAAAATTGAGGACAGTCTCTTTAAACAACTCAATCCATCATGGATGCAAGAGATTTCTATTCCTTCAGGATCAAGATGCAGTTCATTTATTTAAATAATAAATAGTTGGTCAATAAAATGGATGGTTTCTATTTTTCAAGGGCAGAAGCTGCACTTTTCCAAAAGTTGCAGTTGTGCTGTGGACTGAATGTAAAGGTAGAATTCTCCA